AAAAAAAAAATTAAGTACCTTGAACAAAAACCAATAGAAACTTGTGGATCTGACTGAAAAATTTCAGTTTTTGATGATTATTAATAAGTTTACAGTATAACATGGACATAAAAAATGTCATTATATAATGTGTGTGTGTGTGTGTGTCCCACTAAGATGCTCAACTGCTGTTCTCTGCAGCATGTCTGATGAGTAAAAGTTGACACATTCATTTTTCCCTTTTGACGTCTCAAAATAAAATATTTATGTCATACCTATTGCAAAGTAAGATGCTTAACACACAGGAGCTCCCCAAACAGCAAACAAGTATTTCGAGGCTGAAATCTCGCCGTGTTCCCTTTCAGAGCAAGTTGCACATGGAAGGCTTCCGCAGCCTGAAGGAGGGAGAGGCAGTCGAATTTACCTTCAAGAAGTCATCAAAGGGCCTGGAGTCACAGCGAGTTACAGGACCAGGTGGCATCCACTGTGTGGGCAGCGAGCGACGACCCAAAGGCAAGAAGGTCCAGAAAAGACGTTCAAAGGGAGACAGGTAAGCAGGGATGAACTGGAAGAGAACAGTAAAGACATTCAGGTGTTAATTAATTTTATCACAATCTTGATGGAATATTTTATTTGCCTTGTGATTCTGGTGCAACAGTACACCTCATTATTTTTTGTGTCCTCTACTGAGCTCATGAACACCAGAATGCATTTTGGCAACGTATCAAGCTTGAGAACTATTATGTTATGAAACTGGCTGCTAAACAGTAATTTCACACATTAAGTTATGCTGAGAGAATCTCAAACCAAATACTGTTTATAGACATTTTCTATTATAGAAATGGAAACCTATATGTTACAACTCAAATTTTCACTGTCCTGTGAAAATCATGAATCTCCAAAACATCTACTTTTCATACATTCATAAAGACAGCTCTGTGACAATGCATCTTTCACCAAAAGTACCAAATTTGAAAGTAAATGGCTTCAGTGGACTGTGTGAGTTGGGGAACTCTCTAAATTTGGTAGCTTGGCACTCCAATACCTATAATTATTGTCTCCAGTTTGGATCAGATACACAATGGTGTTTTATTTTCTCCCCTACTCTCATTATACTTCCTCTTTCTAAACTCCCAACCCCCACCTCAAGCCCTAGCAAGGGTCACACCAGCAGGCTTGACGTGTGACCTTGATCAATAACTGTTTAAATCTGCTGACCCCAAGTGAATTCACACCCACTGAGCCTCTCTCTCCCTCGCTTCCTAAACCAGTATGATTTGTAACCCCAATACCAGACTAATAACTGAAATATCAGAATCTGAATAATATAAATCTACAAATGTTCTGGGTTTGTTGATAATTACAGGACCTTTTTGCCTTTAGAATGAGGTACAAGGAATTTTGTCACTTACACCTGATAGATATGATTGGAGTAGCATTAAAAATGTCTGCTGTAGAAATAAAAAGAAATTCATTGGCAAAAGTAGCAATTTTCCTACATCCTTTCCATTTGAACTGAGATTGTACATGATCCTTGACAAATAAGATATAATTTCATGAGTCCAGGTCCTGTAAAGATTACAAAATTGATAGAAATTTAATGGTTAATCTGCAAATACATCTTTAATCCTGAAACGTTTCCTCTTAATATCCAAAGGTTTCATGCAAATGCAGCAATGTTACTGGGAAAGCCCAGTAGAGGCAAAAAGAGCAAAGGGGGCTTTGATTATTGGGTCATTCTGTGAATATCAATATAGCATGGGGTTAGAGGTGTATCAACTTCACCCCCTGTCAGTTGTGATTAGAGCCAGACAGTAGTCAGTGTGAGAACGAAGATCATTACCGCCTCAAAGAGTCCTGGGAGGCCCACTGTGGTTCAATAACTTTCCCTAGACCACACTGATCCATGAACAAGATATTGTTCCCCTCTAGCATATTTCATAATGCAACACTGGATGGTTGTTCGTTATGTTTGCCTGATTTATGTAATAATGTATAGCCAATAGTCATATCTTTAGGACAGTAGTAAACGATATCATGTTTCATTGTAGTTCTTGTGTGTGGGTTTGTGATTTTCCCACTAGAGTAAACTGCTGTTTTCCAGGCCAGGTTTCATAGCCCACCTTTGTGAATATGTGTATATATGACAGGGAGGGGGAGAAAAGCTCCCTATCCATTTAATTGATAACAGATGCAAGAGCCTGGGCAAAGGGGTGAAAGGTCACTGTTGTCATGGCAACAATGTATGAGTAAATGCAAGAGAGCTGGGGGCTGGGATGGGATTGGGGGTTAGGGAACTGAGGAGAGGGTGGGGGGGTCAGAGTTCAGAGGTCATTACTGCAGGTTTTCTAGACAAAGGGACCACTTCCCTTTCCCTCCACATGGATGCTGATGTGGGAAGCTTCTGTGATGTGACAGCATAGACCTTGACACTGCTCCAACGGCCACCACTACAAAGCTGCACTGACCCCTTCACGGCCACCTTGTCCAAAGCTCATCTCTTGCTACAACGGTGGTAGGGGGTCCGCAGTGGCACACGGTGACCATCCCACACCCACACCACATCTGTCTTCCACCCCAGCACGTGCGCCTTTTTATAGATTATATATGAATGGAGATGGTTGATGGCACCCCTGATGGCTCCTGCTGACCCCTCATAATGTTCACTTCTACATCTTAGTTTGATGCAACAGAATTCAACAGGAAGCTTTTGGCAGTGACAACCTGTAAAACAAAACAAGCTGTTAACGGTATCTCAGATAATAGGCCTATGTGCCATGCTAACCATACCAGGTATCACTACACCACTGCAAAATAGGAACACTACCACTTAAATCTTCCAATTCTGTAGTCTGCTTGAATATTACAGAAACTCCTGCTTGCCCAAAAGGCTGCTAACAAGACCCATTCCATACCTTTTATCACTTACCATTACATTATTGACCACCTACAAAACATCGTGACAGGGAGCACTTCTAACCTGGTGAGCTCTTCCACCAGTAGTGTGGCCTGACCTAGAACGCCCTTGCATTCTAGGTAAAATGTTGCCATCTAGTGGCAAAGAGGTGGAACTTAAAGCTGCCTTCACTCAAAAACGTGCTTTGGTTACAGCTGACCGTTTCAGTTTAACTGTGCAGGATACATGTGCAGAGTTTTCACTTAAGAAGTCTAGAGCCCAGGGCACATTATTTTTAAAATGAAACCTATAGTCAGAATTTTTCAATAAGTGAGAAGGAGAAGATTTAACAATTTTATCTGGGTTTTTGAATTATATTAGTAACACTTAATTTATTATTATTTGTTTATTCAAAATCATTTATTGAAAGTTTAGTGGAACCATAAAATAGGAATAAATGTCTCTGGGTTGCTCTCGCTTAGCATTTGGAATTCATTAGAAGTGTACCTGCTGATCACTTACAACTTTAACTATAATTAGTACCAAATTAGACGGGTATTTCCATGGAAATTAATCTGAAACACTCAAACTCATAAAATGAAGTGCTACATTTTTTTTGTGGAAAAAAACATTTGAGACAAATGATTATTTAAAGCAGTGTATTTTTAATTTGTTAATGTTTCACAATATTACTGGAGGTGATTTTTGTTGATTACTACTTGTATGCAAGGTTGCTTATTGTAATGAAGCCAGAGAACATTATCACCCATCTCTGCAGTTCCCCTCAGCTCTACGAGGCTATATCGTGGTTTTCAGCCCATGGTTTTGGTTTTCTGGTCTGCAGCTTTACTGCTGTGGTTCAGTCTCACTGCTCTCATTGTGCCATTTTTGTCCATAGCAGACAGCGGTCCTAAGTGAAAATGATTCAAAAACCAAATGTACACTATTTGCCCAACACAAAACAGCAGACAGGCATAGTTAGTGACTAGCTACTGGAGTGGATTGGGATTAAGTGGAAATCAAATACAGAGCTAAAAAGACAGTAAATATTGGCCTTACTTTCACCCAGTGACCATAAATAATGACCCAAAATGAATGCCAATGTCGCTCTATATCAGGTAGATGTGTAAATAGACAACAGTTTGCTAATAAGTAAGTCAACTTAAATGCTGTCATTGCATCTGACTGAATGTTCTCTGCTCTCGTAGGTGCTACAACTGCGGAGGCTTGGACCACCACGCCAAAGAATGCAAGTTACCACCACAGCCTAAGAAGTGCCATTTCTGCCAGAGCATTAACCACATGGTTGCCAACTGCCCAATCAAAGCACAACAGTCCTCACCAGGTTCTCAGGGAAAACCATCCCCCTTGAAAGGAGATGAAGAGGAGCACAGCCACTCAGCACTGCCTCCCAAGACCTCTGATTAAACGGGGAATCGGGCAACTGACACCGGGGAAGCACAAAGGCCAATCAAACTGCTTTGATGGAGGGATGGGACACAACAATCCCCTTCCACCTGTTGAAGCTGCTTTTGGAACTACCTCAGGTTAAAACATTGCTCATGAAGAATGTTGCTGAAGTTTTTTTTTGTTTGTTTTCATTTGGTGTAATACTCAGGAATACTGCGTATTATTGCACTCAGGACGCTTTCTCAGTATATGAATCACTGCTGTTTTGGGGGGGGTTTTAGATTGTAGTGAGCAATACCAAATAGTGAATTATCTTGATACATTTTTGTAGAATCTGTTTCTTTTATGTGAAACTGTGCCTCTCCTGTGGGCATTATACCTCTTTTTTGCGTGATACCAGTCAGTGTGTTTAGTACAGAGCTACACTTTTGCTGCCTTACCATTTAGTCCCCTTCCTGACTGTTACACCTCACTATCTGACAAGGCAGAGACATGACAGATTGTACCTCTGTAATAAGTGTTATTTTGCATATCGCATAGGGGAGGGTTCGTGAAAACTCTTGGGACGGGTTTCAGGTTATAGGCAATGAATTAACATCTGCCGATACTGTAATCGACCATCCAGCTTTCCTGGGGCCAAATGAATGTCAGACCAGAAATGGTTTCCAGTTTCTGGTCAATAGTTTTTTGTTTGTTTGTTTTGTTTTGTTTTTGTGTTTTTATCCAGCATCTTGCTGGCTGTCTAAAGGTGCGCAGTCTACCTCACTGGTGCATGTTTGGTCTGCTACTAAAGCTATCATCTTAACTGCTGATGCTAAACAAAACATTCTTAGAGTACGGCTTTGGAGATTGTGATTTGAATTGGGATTATATTAAATCCTTTTTGCACTACAGTAATAATTCAGCATTACCATTATTGTATTACACATCCTTGTATTTAACACTCTCTGAAAATCTTGGTTTTGCTGACCTCCAATGGTTGAACTACTCACGTTGCCGTAGTGATGTACAGGTGTACTCTAGGACCATGTGTCACTGTCAGGTGTAGTTACAGGTCCAGCAAAGCACACTTCTGACCACACCAAACATAAGTCTCCCAACCTTTCAGTCTCTCTTCTAAAGCATCCATAGAGTAGGTTGTACATATTAACAGTGGAAATATGTTGAAAAAGAGCTTAAATGAGAACTTCAAACATTACCACTCTGGTCAGTTGTTGGGTATGAATGTCAGTTTCAGAAATTTACAGAATTTATCTGGCACTGCCTTTTCAATTCCAACACTGTAAAAGTGTTGGGTAGAGTGTTTCTGAAACTTTTCAACAGTCCAACAAGCACTTGTGACAATGACCCCTGACACTTGGGTGTGGTCAGGTGTGCTCTGTCGTACTTGACTGTGTTACTATGGTTCCATGCTCCTTACCAGCTACTCAAAACTTATTAGACTGGCTGTACTTACTCTTTAAAGTATCAACCAGAGAAGGCAGCAAAACTGCTGTTCAGCCTGGTCTTAAGTTACTCTTTAACCTTTCTGAGTCAGAAGAATTATTTTTGTCAGTTTAACATTTACTGTATTGTCTTATTTTTTGGCTGCTGTGTGAAAGACTGCCACATTATAATTACCTCAGCTAGGGTTTGATGGAATCCCATATAGATGCTAAAGCCAGTATTTGTATGGCATAACTGAAGATGATACTTGACCTGGACTGAGTTGCTTAGGGGTCCAGCTACTCTACTGTTAATACTTGAATAAAATGAGGCAGAATCAGACATGATGTAGCCAGTGGGAAGGCTGATGTTTTTTTGTTTATATCAAGTATCATCCATTTCTAGGTAGTTATTTAAGACATTACCTCCCTATAACCCATACAAGGGTAATAGTCCAGGAACAACAAGACTGCACGGAGGAGTATGTAGAAGTAGCTAGCTAATCAGCATTTTACTCCCGTTTTACAGGAGAAGCTGACAGAATTTTACACCTAATTAATATATATGTAAAATTATTCTAAAGCCTTTAAAAAATCATATTTATTTTCATCAAAGAGTGCTGCAGCTTCTCCTTCTGCTCCTGTTGAATCCTCTCAAGAATGAATGTTGAAGACATCAGAAAACTGCCAAATGTCATTCAAGCCTACATATGACTTGAGAATATATTTGGATAAACACATTTTTAACATCGAGTCACTCATATTACTTTGTACATATATGCTAAAGAAATCATTGTCCTTAATAATCTAAAGCAGATTGACTACAGTGTAACAGTAATATATTGTAACACAAGAGTATCAATTTACAGGTACAGAGTATTATGAGGACTGACAAAATGAGAGACTGATTTCCTTTTCCTTGTATGATTTTTTTCTTCTATTTTTGTGCTAAATGAGTCTCAGAAGAGAGACCCATTGCTACTCTTATCTATGCCAAAACCAATGCAAAGTTACTCTGCACTAATTATGTGTAAGATGCATTAATTTCTTTTTTTTATATATATATATTCCGTTTAATCTCTTTCAAATATATGTTCAATAGTTTAATATACTACATACAGTCAGTTGCTGGGTTAAAAAAAAAACAAAAAACAAAAAAAAACATGATACTCTTACACTCATCTCAGGAATTGCCAATCTGAAAACTCAGGGAATACTTCAGATTGACTGGAAGGAGTGGAGGAGTGTTTACTCCAGACAGAGTAGGGATGGTCATCCACATAATGTGAAACAAGGGACAAGGGAGCCAAAGTAAAATGGGCTCAAGAGTGACTGCTTTTGACTATCTTGGTGCAAAGTTTCTCTTTTCACTCATAAGAATACTAAGATTGTGGTAAAAAAAAAACAATAGTTACAAATTAGTGAAACAGTTAAGGTTGAGATTTACAAGCTTTGTGACTTAACTTTCCATGCACCCTGTGTGATGATGTTCTTTATATTTACTCCTCTTTGACATAACTTGCTGTGATATGATATGAAGAAAATGTTCTATTATTGTATTTTTTTTCCTCTATAATTGTTGTAGATGGGGATGTAGTAGAATGTTGTTAAAGGGATTGGGGCTAGTAGTATATAATGCAGGGCTGTCTCATTTCAACACATAGCTGACATTTGGTGTGGTGTTTCAGACTATCAGTGCTTACGACATAAAGAATGTGACATGGGTAATGTAACACTCATTATTTCATTATTTCATTCTCTGCTTTTACAGTGTTTATGTTTTGCAAGGCTAAAGGCTACATAAGCAAACACTGTTTTGTTTCCACTCAGGATATGAAAAGACAAAGATTATTAATGTAGGAGCTTTGATTAGGCAGAATAGTTTACTTTTCTGTGCCTTTTTATGTTGACTTTTTAACTGCAGTGCCAATATATTATCTAACATTAACATATTCCCTTTCTCCATTTAAAAAAAAAGCACATGGACAAGTTTTGTTCATTGGTTTCTGAGATTAAACATTTTTTTTAAATCCCTGAAACACCAAATGACTCATCTGTCAAACTCTAATAGATGATTCTAACACCCTCTATTTTGATAAAGGTTGAATGATATTGTTTACAATATTCTGCTGTACTTAGTGATGTTTTCAAAGTATCATTTGGAAACTAAAGTCCATGACAAACATTCTGATTGCAACAGAAGACTGTCAGGTGTTAGATGGGTTACATATAACTTGAAAATCCAAAGACATGTAAGATTATGTGCTCAGGGTAACTTTTGAAGAACAAAGAATTCTGTATCACAATTTGACTTGTGTGCTTTTTCATGGTACAGTACATCTTGTTTGGGACTATCAGACATTTACAGACTTATTTTGTGGTGTTTTTTATCTTATCAGGTAAATGACTAGAGCTACTTCCAAAAATGTGCATTTATTACTGATGAATGTATCGGTATTTACTGCCATAAAACTACAACTATTTTGATCTTCTCAGTCAGTTTAATGGCTAGTCTGTTAAGTATGAGCAGCATGTAGGCTTTACAAGGTATTACTGTGATTGTTTCTAAATGTAAAGATCTGCTCCATTTCTTAATAAATATGTGGATATGCAGCTATGTTTTTCATGTATTCTTACTATTACAGATATTTTTTCTTATCTAATCGCAAGGTCTGAAATTTTATAAGCAGTCTATATTCAGATTAGTAAAAGTAGCTCCAATTAAAATATTAATCTACAAGGTGCTAGTAACTATACCTATCAGCGGCCAGATATTGCAAATTTAGTTGCTTTATTGATTAGTAAACAAAAAATTTTGATAGGCTGACTGATTCCTATTTAAAGTCCTTTGTCAAGGTGAAAGTGCCAAACAGTTTCTCAAGTGGGAAAATCTACAGGTTTAGCCTACTCTTTCAACATATCAAGATATTAATTGTAAATCAAACATCTTTTGGGTTTTATTACACTCGCAAAACAAGATTAATGAAGATGTAATTCTGAATCTGAGGCATTTTGATGGGTATGTTATATACTAAATTATTAAAATGATTTTAACAAAAATTATCATTAGCTGCATCCCTGTTGTACATCTTTCTAAAATACAATGAAAAGGATCTATAAACAGAATGTAAGCAGAAGGAAGTAGACACGTACTTGAGTAAATGTACTTGTTACATTCTACCACTGTTGACTTGTTTTGCTCTATTTGTATTCTTGTTTACAATTTACAGTTTACACTTTAACTTGTAATGAGGTACATCATCTGAGGACAGTTTGTGAGATATTAGAAATGAAATACCGGTCACAAATGTTCACAATGATCAGAAGTGAAACACCGAAGAAAACTCAGCTCCTCTTTTTTTCTGCCACTTAAAACCCACAAATCCTAATAACGTGCCATGGCTCTAGCTAATAGCACTGAAGTACCGCATTTATCCACCAGGGGGCTGTTGTCTTCTTATATTTACTATGACACAACCAGCCTTATGGTAAAATCCAATATGGCTGTACAGTGAGAGGAATGCTAGCAGAACTCCAATTTCAAGGGACAAACATTGTTGCATAGCGGTGTTGTTTGTATGTTTTGAAGTGATTTCCTGTGTAGCAATGTGGCTGCCAATCCGTATAGTTTGTTTAAGAAGCCAGACAACCTGGAGAAAAAGCTTCGCCGCTAACGTGATTCTTTTGAAACTGTCTAGGCACAGGAGTAATGCTAACGTATCTCATTTCAGTCATTCAGCTGGACTTTCTGCACAAACATGCAAAGCACTTCTATACAGAGAACACGGAGACCCCTCTCAAGTCGTTCAGTAAGAGTGACTCTTTAAACACATCAAAATATGTTTCTGTAGACATGCGAATACAACGGTTACATTTTGTTAGGTTATTTTTTAGTTAGATAGATATTCAGAGATTTGTTGTCTATGAATGTTTAGTTCAGACAGGGTGACTGGCTTAGGCTGTTAACTATTCAGCCTGCAGTGCAGACTGCAGGCACGTCAAGGTTACAGGAAAACTGCTGTTAGTGTCAACTGTAATGCTAGTCTTAATATTTGTCTTAATGTGTAAGGTTATGTCCAATTGTTTTAGATACACACCACGAAAACAACAGTCACGCACCTTGACTTTTCCTCGTGTTTTGGCTAAACGTTATAGCAGCTGCAAGGCTTGCTTATCGGGTGACGTCACGGTTCGACAGCCCAGAAAGGATTAATATTGTATAGCAATGCTTGGTTCGGGGTCTTTCTGCTTCCGGGCTGCTTTTGGCAGGCTGGGGGTTGGAAGATCTCTGGACTGGAAGTGTGAATTCTTGCCTGTGACTCTTTGAATAAACCAGCACGGTTATATTTTTTATATACTCAAGTGGTCTGAGTCGTCCCTCTGAGTTCCTGGTTTGAAAGAACCGGACGAGGCTTTATAATGGAATTGAGCCTTTAATTTAAAATGTAATGTTAGCTAGCCCTGCCTGCTCGGGTCAACTCGAGAAAACTGCTGCTCTTTAACGGAGGTGGGACAGTTAACCAGGTGTACATTTTCTAAACCAATCACCCAACCTTCAGCACGGAAGTCTTTACTCTTGTAAAACTGAAGTATGTACATAAAACCACTTTAATTAGAGCATAAATCTCACCTTTGTGTCGCCTGTCTTAGTAAAGTTTTCATTGCAGCTTTTCTTCGCTATATTGTAGTGCGCATTAGAATTATTACTGCCCTTGGAGGTCGGAGGGCAGAAAAATAACTGAATACATCATTTAATTGATTGTGAAGTTGTCAACCCTTTGGTGTCAAGTAATTAGTACACGGGTGTTGTAGTATTGCTCCATCATAGAGGTACTGTGGGGCTCCAATCAATAATTAATTAAAATTTGATTTGTTTTTTTAAATAGTAGAATATTTGCTTCACTGTATAAACGCCAGAAAAAAATTGAAAATGACCATAACTGTTCTCTGAAGCGCTGAAGTTAACATATTCTAATTTATTGTATCTTCTTCTAGTATAGAAGAATACACTAGCAAACATTCCCATTTGATAACTCATTACACAATTATAAAACTTGTTGCCAAATAATTTATCTTAATCAATGAATTTACTTTTTATTTCATTTACTTCATCCATTTATGTCTATTCAGTTTTTGTTTGTTCCCGGTAATTTCTTTGGTGAGTCATAGAATGCCTGTGTCCATCTTGATAATAGCTGGTGGACTGTGAAAACACCAGAGATGATCAGTTTTTCCGGTTGCCAGGTTGGAGGATGTACCTCTGCCCCCTGTAGGTGTAAAGGATGTCCTGGTTAAAATGCTGGCAGCCCCAATCAATCCATCTGACATCAACATGATTCAAGGTAATAAGTTAGTTACATCTCATATAGTAGCCTAATTTAATTGCAATTGGTAGTTGCAGGAACAAGATAGCAAAGGAATGGATCACAGCATTTATGTTTCATAAGATATGAAGATCAGGTGTTTCTCTTTTTATTCAGGTACTTACGCGATCCTGCCTGACCTCCCAGCTGTTGGAGGCAACGAGGGGGTAGCCCAGGTTGTGGAGGTGGGCAGCCAGGTGAAGTCTCTCAAAACAGGAAACTGGGTCATCCCAAGAGATGCTGGTTTAGGTACATTACAGCTCACATTACACAAGTGAGTCCACAGGGTCAGAGTTATGTTTCCCAACACGAATTGTGTGCTACTGTGTGAGCAGGGACATGGAGGACAGAGGCGGTTCTAGCTGAGGATGATGTCATCTCATTACCAGATGACATCCCCTTGTTGTCCGCTGCCACACTCGGGGTGAACCCCTGTACTGCCTTCAGGATGCTCTCTGACTTTGAAGATCTTAAACCAGGTAAACAGGGGCATAACATTATATTTGATTACACATACAGGGGTTTTAATGTGTTTTTATTAGTGTGTTTAAAAAGAACACTAGTAGTCCTAACATTAGTTAGATTTATAGATTTATTTCCAGCATGAACTTGCAAAGGAAGGAATTTTGCACCTACAAAAGTCCATGAGTGTTCATTTGTCATCCCAACAAACTGGTAGACACATGATGAGAACAACATGCTGAGGATGAAGTGCTGGTATAATAAAAATCTAAATGGAGATTTGAGGATGCAGAAGTCCTAATTTAGCTCTTAAAATATGCTTTGCGGTAATTGTAGCCATATTGTGACCATTTCAGTCTACATGTTATCCTTTCAGGTGATTCAGTGATCCAGAATGCAGCCAACAGTGGAGTTGGGCAGGCTGTTATACAGATTGCTGCTGCAAGGGGGATAAACACTATTAATGTCGTCCGAGACAGGTTAACTGTGTTATACTACCCATTTTATATTGTGTGTAAATAAATGACTACACTCACACTTCAGCTCTCTTTCCTGTTCCTCGCTGAATGTGCAATATCAAGTCCTTTCAGTAGAGTTAGGCCTAGTTGTTTAGCTTATAACTTCCCTGTGACTTCCCTTTCACAGGCCAGAGTTCCTACAGCTCAGTGATAGGCTGAGGTCCATCGGAGCAACCTATGTAATAAGAGAAGAGGCATTGAGGCGGCCTGAGATTAAGGAACTGTTCAAGGTCTGTGGGTTTGAAGACAGCTTTAAAAATATGATAAAGTAGTACTGCCTATCAGTGAATAAACACAACCTCACTGTATTTATGTTTTTTTAAAGACTTGTCCAAAGCCTAAACTGGCATTAAATGGAGTCGGAGGCAAAAGTGCAACGGAACTGCTCCGTCATCTACAGTGAGGATTTTGAATTAACTTTTAACATGATACCCTGCAGGTAAACGCTGGTAATAAATTGCCATGTTTTTTTTAAATTTATTCCAGGGTTGGAGGATCCATGGTGACATATGGAGGAATGGCCAAACAGCCAATTACTATCCCTGTGGTAAGAGGAAATGGCTGTTCGCTTTCTTGTGTAGAGTTAGATGAGTAGACTGATACCACTCTAATACTTGATACAGTAAATGTAAAGCTGCCACCACATTGACTGATATCAATCTTCTTAACTGTTGGCATGAAAGCAAATAATTATATTAACCTAAATGTCAAACTACTGCTATAACATTACATTTCACAGAGACATTTTTTTCTCAGTATACTTATTAAACTCTCTCCAGAGTGCTCTTATTTTCAAAGATGTGAAAATTCGGGGATTTTGGGTCACACGGTGGAAAAGAGATCAGTCACACGGTGAGTTGGCATGAAGTTTCTTGTTTCATAATATAATTAAGATAAACATCCCAAAATTTTAAATTCTACTATCTTATCTTACCCTTAGATGGGAGGGCATTTAGATCTATGCTGGATAAGCTATGCTCCCTCATCCAGCAGGGAAAGCTGACAGCTCCTCCCTGCACTAATGTGGCATTCCAAGACTACCACAAAGCTCTGGACACAGCCGTGCAGCCTTTCACATCAGCTAAACAGGTCCTGATCATGTGACCTAACTGGTCTCACAACTAAACACTACATTGTCATAACCATGGTGTATGATCTGAAGTGTATTTGCCACATTATTGCTGATCTGTCTCTTAAGTGTACATTTAATAAATATCTTCACAGCAGGCTCAAAGGTGTCTGGTATCTGTCATGTTCTGCAGTGGTACTTTGAATTACCCTAGGTTTACTGGCAGTCATACGAACGCAGTAAATCTTTGGTGTTATGAGATAACAGAAATCATCACCGAAGACTGATAGTTTTATGTGTTATGTGTAGTAGCAGATCACATTGCATTCAGAATTAGTTGGTCTGCAACCAAGTTATTTAAGTTATTTTTACAGTAATTTTGCTCTAATTCTATCCATGCGCTGTTGTAACTGTCCTTCTGAATCCATTTGACGCAAGACAACGGTTACATGATATTACAAAAGGATATAGAGTGTTTAACGAGGTTGTAGTGTGTGAAGTGTGGGTATTTCCAACTTATGCAGTCTATGAAATGCAAGAAAGGCTAAAGGAGGGGAAGTAAATAAAAAAAATAATACAATTACCAATAATAATGATGATAACAGTACTACTAATAAAATCAGCTTGTTACATTTCAAGAGGTTGGTGGGAATGTGCGTGGCCTCAGCCCCAGGTATTTGATTCAAGTTGAAATGTGTTAAAAATGGGTTCCATGTGTCATAAAAAGCAGATAAACTATTCTTGTGAGTGGATGCCGTTTTCTCTAATGTGATGTATTCTGCCAGAAGTTTGGTCCAGTGGTTTATGTGGAGTGATTTTTTTGATTTCCAATTTTGAAAGATTGTTTCTTGGCAATAGCTAGAGAAATGAGGAGTGGGTTTTTATATTTAATTGGTAGGTGGTCGATTTCTGATATTACCGAGGAAGCAAAGTGATGGAGAAGGAGGGATTCTACAGCCCAAGATGGTGGAGAGTTTCTCTGTCACTGCTATCCAGAGGGAATGAACTGGTTGGCAGGTCCAAGTAGCATGAAAGTAACTGTCGGTGCAACCTAGAGTGCATTGTGAGCAGATGTCTATGTCGGTAAAACCCATTTTAAACATTTTACTTTGTGTAATATGGGTCCTATAAATTAAATGCTCTTGTATAAGTTGTAAGTTTACATTGATGGTCATAGAAAAGATGTTATTGCAAATTTCTGTCCAGAAGTCAGAGTTGAGGGGGAGAGTTAAATCATTTTCCCATTTGAGTTTTAGTATTGTTATTGTTGAGTCTGTATTTGATATGAGTTTATATAGCTTGGATATTATTTTCTTGGAGGATGTAATTTTCATAATTTCTTCAATTAATTGGGAAGGCTGTAATGGGTTATTGGTTACACTAATCTTTGATTTAATTATGGATTTTTAGCTGATTGTACTGGAGGAACTGTTCTCTCTGAACTCTGTACATCTGGATCAGTGTATTAAATGATATGAACTGGTCAAATAGGTGATGTAAGTGAGTGAGTTGCCATGCTGGGAAATAGATAGGGTTATTATGCAGTTGGAAATCAGGGTTGTGTTAAATTGGAATGTATCTACATGGTGCAAGTGATGATTTAGTGATTTTGGTTACTTTCCACCAGGCTGTCAGAGTTGAGAGGATTGTGATGTTCTTACAGTGATTCATTTTCTTAGTAGAGTTTGGTAGAAAAGGGAGGTCTGCAACCAAGTTATTTAAGTTATTTTTACAGTAATTTTGCTCTAATTCTATCCATGC